AAGGACATTATGGTTGGAAGGATAGAGGGTCATTACAGAAGAGGAAGACCCTGGATAATATGGACCGACACCAGTGACTGTGGCAATGGAGGTAGGTGTGTGTGAGACAGTGATTTGGCTCAGGATAGGGTAAGGTTCAGAGTCCTTGTTCAGAGGGTCCTACGAGTCATGGTTGACTTGATGGCACACAAACAACAATATCACAACAATATCCCACAATGACCTTTAATTCTTTGGCCTCCTTCCATGCGGGGCAAGCTGATACAGTATGGACTATGGCTTTAGGTAGCAGGTTATTCTTTCCTTACTAGACAGCCCTCAGGAGGTCTATCAACACTTCCCCTGACTGTCTGAAGGTTCATGACCCATCCTCTACCCAGAATGTGGGTGGTCATGACATTTAGATAATCCTGTACCAAAGAACTCTCTCCAGCAGTTAGCATATTACCACCTGTGGAATGAACTGTAGCTTCGAGTCACTGACCCATGTCCAGACACACTTACTCTCTCTTGACCACAGCCACCTCCGAGAACTCTCAGGACAAAACTCTGAATAAAGAGTGCTTCATAGTCAGCTGATATGCTCTGATCATGTGAGCCTGGGATCTGGGGGTGTACTGGAGCCAAGACCTCTGTCTCAGCTGGAGTCACTTTCCCAGTGATGGGCATGAGAGGGGCATAGGTCGTGCCCCGGAATGTGCAGAGGGTTAAACCAGGCCAAAGCAAGAAGGGTCAGAGCATGGGTGCTGCTGTCCCTCAGGCACCTGGGAAGGTAAACCCGACCCACCCTAGCCTCTGGCCATCAGCCTTTCTGCTGGCCCTCATGTTCCTCGATCAAATTCAGTGCATTTTCCTCTTGAAACTTGCCCTTATTAAGCTCCAGTCGTGGGGATTCAAAGCACATGGTACAGAGAAGGTGCTTAATGCATGTTGGCACCTTTTCTGTTCCTTCCATCATAAGTACCACTCAGCTTTCATGCTTTCCTTCCTGTTACCCCCTATAATCAGGCTAATCTGCTTCATGTTTTTAAGCCCTGCTTACCTGGCCTTCTGGCCCCACTTGGACAGCACCCAAAGATATTGTTGCGAACTGTGGTCTGCTCACAGGTGACTCTCCCGGTAGGAAGAGGAAGAGCAGATGAGGAGTCACCACAATGCCACGTACTTCACTGGAGGGAGTAGAATCTGGAGGTGCACAGCTGGAATAGGGACGCTCAGCCAAGAACTCCCACAGTGATTCACCTTCCATCTTTTCTGGGGAGCCTGTGGTTAGCAGAACTTGCTGCAGCGAGTTTGCCCAGAAATTCTCACGTGTCTACTCACATTGGTCCCCTCACGTGCATCACAAAGGTCCGAAGCAGAGTGAGGGTTTCAGGGATGCAAGAGTGTGGGTCTCAGAAGCCCACGTGAGAACAGAGGTTCAACACTGAGGCTCTTGGGGTCAACTTTCCTCTTTGTTGAGCAGTGTTTGAGGTCTTAAAAGTTTGCAAGTGGTTGCGTGAAGTGCAACAGCTGGTTTCTACTCACCTGGAGGAAATGAGGATGAAGAGAAGCAGGGACCGGAAGAGGAAATGGCTGTGTGGTCAGCTGCTTCCTGGACCCCCTGTCTCTACTGCCAGGAGACCAGAACTGGGTGTTGCCTGGCTACAATTAATTCGTTGCTAAATGTTTTCATCAAGATTCTGTATAAGCATATGGATCCATAAGAAACAAAATTAAGAGCAGAATTTTAAATTATTCTCAAGTTCAAACTTTCAGGAATATGGAACCGTCACAATTATTGCCCTGAAGTAATATTTTTCACTTTAAACCAAAAATACTTTCCCAAAGTCTTCTTAAAACCAGCCAATAATTTAGTTGACTTGGTAAAGAAAATGTACTTAGAGTATTATACTGTCTTTTTACATTTTGAGTAAGAGTTTACAGAGAAATTGAGCTTCCATTCAGTCATTCACATTGTATGATGTTCCATGTGGTTACCACGTTTTAACAGCACTCTTCCCCTCCCTGCTTGTGATTCTCATTCTTATTCACCCTCCTGTCTTATCTCTTCTATGTCTTCTATGTCTTCTTCTCAAACTTTCTTCTCGGCAGTTCCTGAGCTTTGGGTCTTGTATGGCTGATTGTTCCAGAGAGGAAATACCTCCCTGGTATTGTTGCTCACGAAAGGTATGTCTGTTGTTTGGCTGTGAGTCAAGCCATAGGGGCATCATCTAGTTCTTCTGGTCTCCAGGCAGTGCCGGGGGAAGGTCAATGATTCACTGGTCCTGTGCAGTAATTGTTACTATGCATGTTTGGCTTTTTCTCTCTTCTTTGTTCGTGACAGGGAGAACTCAATAGTTGTACCTTAGATGGTAGCTTGCAAGTCTTTAAGGTTCCAGTCTGTGTTCACCAAAGCAGGATGCAGAACATGGCTCTGTTTCTGTGGGCTTTGCGATGTCTGGGGAGTTTTGATGGTGGAGTTTGTGGGACGTCACACTGCTAACTCCAAGGCAGCACCTCTTTAGTGGTGCTTTAGTGGTTCAAAACCACCACCAGAGCCAAGTGAGTTTTAGCCTCTGAAGGGTCAGTTATGCATCAGTTCTGACTTGATGGCGTGTGATGGGATGATGGTTGTGCAGGTGTTAAGCACTTGACTGCTAGTTGAACCTCCTAGCCTCTGGGTGGAGAAGAGCATGGCCATCAACTTCCATAAAGATTACAACTTGGAAACGACATGGGACGCTCTCTGTCTTACAGGGTCCTGTCAATTTGAATAGACTCAGCAGTGATAAGCTTACCGATCATTTATCTGTAAATCTTTTCTTAAAAAAAAGTCTTTGCTTTCCTTTGTGCATTTTTTTGTCAATTTTTAATAAAATTGTTTGCCTTTTTGTTATTGGTTGTTCCAAAGGTTAGATTTTATTACCTTGCTCAGATCAGAGTCAAATCCTGAAGGTGGAAGGTTGGACCAACCACCAGAGCACACACCCTCCAATATCTCACCTAGTGCATTCTCGTCTGTCTTTTTAAAGAATTTTATATCATATTAGTTTGCTTACAAAGTTCATATAATTGCACTTCAAACTATTGTTCACTCACATTGTGTTTCATGCAATCATTCCAATTCATTATATTTTAGAAAATTAAACATTGATCTGTGCCCACCATTGCCCTGTCTTTCCAGATCCCCATTGGATCTTCCCCATTTCCTTTGCCCACCCCTCCCTCTATCCATCAAATGGTGCGTCTCTATGACTTCACTCTGTCCATCCTCACCCCTCTGCTCCTACCCTTTTCCCCTTGGATCCTCATATATGTTTGCTAGTGATCTTTCTATTTCTACAACAATGGTCTCATACAGTATTTGTCCTTATGGGACTGAGTTAGTTCACTCAACATAATGCTTTCCAGTCCCTCCCAAGTTATGTAGTAATTTTAAAAATCATTTTTCCTGAGTGCTGCATAGTATTCCAGTGTGTGGATGTACCACAATTTCTAAAGTGCATTCTCCTCTTAACCTTGACATTCAAGACTGTAGCAATACTTTCTGCGTCATGGCTGGATTTAAACACACACATTTCCCAGGAAATATAGCATTATTTTACTCATTCCCACAATTCCTCTCATATGTTTTGGTTCACCTGAAAAATGCAGCTCTCATGGCAAAGGCAGTAGAGAGTCTCGTTTGTAACCCAAAGACCACCCCCTGCTGGTTGTTCGAATCCACCAGTGACTTCTTGGGAGAAGGATGAACAGTGGTCTCCCATACGATTTACAGCGTCAGAAACCCATGGAGGGTCAGCTAAGAGTCAGTTCCTACTCGACAACAATAAGCCAGTCAGTCAAAAATTGTAAAGCTCTAAGTGAAAAATCACATACGCTCTACTTTACTCGCAAGGTCTACTAAACTCTGTCCTACAGAGATGGAATCCTAGCAAAATGATTTCCTAGCGCTCTCCCAGTGAAGGTGTTTTTGTGGAGAAAAGAAAACAGCAAAGTGAAAGCTCTGAAATATGTCAGTGAGAGGGAAAGGAAGGCCTTTCCAGGGACTGACTCTCTGGGTCAGCGTCCCTTAAGGGTGGACACTGGGGTTTTAGTGACTGTAGCTCTGAGGGAATGGACCACACAACAGCCCTTGACTTTCTATCCTCACATGGTCTCTCCTTTCAAGTTGAGGGTATTTATCATAAAGATGATGTGTGTGTATGTCTAGAGTTTGAACTCTACATAACCCTGAAAAAAAGGTGAGTCCATGCAACAGAGAGACCTCTGGTGGCTTAAAAGAACCTGCACTGCCAACCCCAAGATACGTGGTTCAAAACCATGAGCTGTCACACAGAAGAAGAATGGACAATCTTCTCCAGTGAGATTTACTGGCTCTGAAAACCCACCAGATGGGTCAGTTTCAATTCAACAATATACAACAACAACCATGCAAAGGTGTAGAATCCCTGATTTGTGTCCAGCCTAACGTGTGTCCATTGGTGGCTATTCAGGGTCTCTGAGGTCCTAGTGCCATGTGGGGGTTCAGGTTCAGAGCTGGCAGGGTCTGGGATCAAGAAAGCTTTTCAGGACACAGCTGCTGTGGGAACCACCGAGGGCCAGAGGAGGGTCCTTGAACTTGCTCGTCCCCACAGCACTGCTCATCCTGACCACAGGAAGGTGATGTCATGATCTAAAGGGAGCCTCGCGCTCTGGCCCTGTGCTCCTGGACGTGTGAGAGGGCGGACAGGCAGGACTGCAATCGTGGTGAGTAACGGGGTTGGTTGGAGGGATGTCTTAACTGAAAATAGCTTTGGAATCTCAGCCTCTACCAACCACGGGCTGCTCTGTCCCCTCAGCTCCCTGTGCTCTGACCAGTTCCAAGAAGAAGCCACACATTAAACAGAGGAAAGTGGAAATGTGGACCTTGGCGGTCTGAGCCTTCTTTCAGAGGAGGCTGAAGCCTTGGATCGAGCTAGGAGCTGGACGGTTTCACGTGACCACGTCTTTGGGAAACGACCCAGCAAACCTGAGCCATGAGGCTGCCTTCAGCTCTGCTGCTTCTCTGGCTCCCAGGTGAGGCGGTTCCTGGACTGAAACTCTCCTGTGCGCATGGGACACAGGGAGGGTGAGAGAGACAGAGGCAGGGATGTGCCTGTCAAGAACTGCACCCTCAGTCTGGTGGGTGACCTCTCCAGAGCTCTGCCCATCACTGGTGGACCACACCCTGGGAGGGAAGCGAGAGACCCTGTCCCTTCTTCTGTCCACCTTGGATGGGGCTTGTGGGGCATGGAGAACAGAGGTGTCGTGGGTGAGGGTCTGTGGGAGAGTGGTCACGCTGAGCTGGTCTGAGGGGCTTGTGTTTTGGGGAGAGATGTTCTTCCCTCAGGTCTCCCCTGCTCAGGTGTGGGGGTGAGAAGTCCATGTTTTCAGGGATATTGGGGTGCAGCTGGGGCAGTGCAGGGGCTGACTGGAACCTGAGGAGGGACATTGGCTAACCCTGATGTGGTTGGTAACAGTCTCAATGTCCCTGAGGACCAAGGTCAGTTATCTCCAAGGAGGAGAGAGAGAATTGACAGAGGCACGAGTGGGAGGGGAGAGTTGGGGAGATGCAGGAAGAGAGAAAAGAGAAGTGAAACTGGGGAGAAGCACCCTGATGAGAACTCACAGGGTCTAATTTCAGTGAGCTCCTGTGTCAGTGAAGACAGCTTTTCTCACAAGGTCCTATGCATTTCTTATTTATTCCTGAACTATTTAGAACCTTTTTGCCGGTTTTGCTTATAAGTTGGATTTTCCCTAATTTTATATGCTATCTAGGCTTTATTCCCCATAATAGTTGGAATAGACTCATAGCCAACCCTTTCCTAGGATGCACTTAGACTTCCCCTCCTGGCCCACATCCCCCAGTCGTCCCTTCCCTGGGGCCCAGCTGGAACTCCCCTTCCTGCACAGACACTCAGAGAGAGGTGCAGAGAAGACCCCCAGCAGAGGGACTGACAGAACCTATGGGCATCAGTGAATGAGAGAACAGAGCTGATGGGCTGGAAAGAAATCAACACACTGCAATCTGTCAGGGTGAAGCAGGCACCCTGTGCTATTTATGGAGGTCCCCCCATGTGCCAGGCCACATCGCAGATGTAAGCAGGCCATGGCCTGCCCTCCTGGAGCAGAGGTCCAAGTGCTGTTTCCACGGTAGAGATTCAAAGAGAGGAAAAAGCATATGAACTTAGAGTTCTAAGTCCAGGAGCCTTTGGTGGCCTAGTGGTAAGGAGTTGCACTGCCAACCCAGAGACTCATGGTTCAAATACACCATAAACTAAAGAGCTGAAAAAGCAAGTGAAATAGAGTTGTAACTCCGGGAGCCTAGCAGTAAGGAGTTGCATTGCCAACACAGAGGCTCACGGTTCAAACTCACCAGTCATTCCAAGGGAGAATGATGGGCAGCCTCTTCCAGTGTGATTTACAGCCTCTGAAAACCTGCTGGAAGGTTGGCTGTAAACGAGTCTGTTCCAACTCAGCGGCACACCAGCTCCAGGCGGAGCGCTGCAAACCCAGTGCACGGGCAGTTAAGCGTCTAACGCAAATACTGTGCCTCTCGGGCAGCCTGAATCCATCAGCAATTCCCCAGGGGGGGCATGGTCATGATCATTGTCCTCCCCTGGGATTTATAGCCCTGGACACCTGATGGAGGGTCAACTCTGAGTTGGTTCCAATTCAAAGGAAAGAATTTGCATCCGAGTTTTAAACTCTAGGAGAGATGAGCGAGCCAGCTGGGGACCTGGTCACAGACTGATGTGTGCAGTAGGGACAACACCCACCCTTGGCACCTGGCCCTTGGCCCAAGGAAGGGTCCCTGATTGGACAGCCGTAGCTTCAAACACAGGGCATCTGCTTCCTGGGTGGACAGCCTTGGCTTCACACCCATTCCTGATGCTCTGCTCTGCTCTGCTTATGTGAGAGCTACACGCTGGAGAGACTGATAGAAGTGCGGGAAGGAAAAAACAGAACTTTGTGGATGACTAGCCCATGAGAGCTGGCCAGACTCCAGCCAGGCGCAGAGTGAAATGAAGACAGTGGGCAGTAACCCTCCTGCTGAGGGAGAATCCGCTTTGTCTGTTCCCCAGCTCTGCCACGCTCTTGCTGGGTGTCCCCGCATGAGACACTGCACTCCTTAGTCTGGATCTATCTATAGATTAGGGGTGATGCTACCTCTCTGTGGAAATTAAATGCATATTGTACATAAGAATCTTTATTTAAAAACTTTTATTTTGGGGGAGCTCTGGTGGCCTAGTGGCAAGGAGCTGCAACTACAATCCCAGAGGCTCACGGTTCGAATCCACCAGATGCTCTGCTGGGAAAGGAGGTACAATCTCCTCCTGTACCAGTCAGATCTAATTTGACGGTACTCTCACACAAAAATTAAAAAAAAAAAAACCAACCTTTTATTTTTTATTTTTTAATTAATTTTAATGAAAGTTTACAGAGACTCTGGATTTCCTTTCATTCATTGTTGCACACTTTCCTCCCTGCCCACCCCTCCCCAAAGTTCACTTTTCTCTTTGTAAAGTAAAACAAAACAAAACAAAACAAACTTTCATTATTATACAATCCCCCCAGTTCACTCCACTACGCAGCTTTCATTCTGAACTCCTGTCATGACAATAATACCTAATCATATATTCTTCCTAAAAATAGTTCTCTCCCTCATCTGTTTCAATGCAGTACACGTTATTTACCCCTTCTGTTTTTAGTTTCCCCCCACCCCCGATGTCAGTCTCACTTTACAACAGTGACACCATGCAGCACCTGTCCTTTTGTGACTGAGATATTTCACTCAGCGTAATGTCCTCCAAGGTCACCCAATTTGAATAATATTGCATGAGTTCCTTGGTTTTTTGTGTCCACCACTTTTGTAGAAATGATTTATCAACCTTTTCCTTCCCGTTGTATATTATCCAAGAGTAGATGACTGTGTGGGCTATGAGATAAGAGGGATTGTTAGACTTGGGAGTGATCTTCCTGGACACAGGGAGCTTGGGGGGAAGGGCATTTCTCATAATCCCAGTGAGTGTGGAGGTGGAAGGTTTGTGGTCAGACAAGAAGAAAAAAGGGCAGCAAGAAAGGGGGGTGGGGTCTGAAGGAAGGGGCTCCTGTGGCCAAAATCTGGGCTTGGCAGAGTGACCAGGAAGGCACTGAGGAGTGAAGGGAGGAGCTGGTGTGGACTTGCAGGGAGGGGAAGGACTGACCCCTGTGGTACCGCTGTCCCGACCCGTGCACGTGAGGAGCTGGGACGCGGTTTGTGTTTTTCAGGCTGTGTGACACTGAGCGGCCCCAAGACCGTGACAGGCACTAAGGGGGGATCCCTGGGCCTGCAGTGTTGGTATAAGGGAAAATACAAGGATAATAACAAATTCTGGTGCAGAGGATCAGTACAGACAGCATGTAAGAAGATTGTGGAAACTAAAGGGTCAGAGAGAATGGTCAGTAAGGGCCGAGTGTCCATCAGGGACTTTCCTGAGCAGCACAACTTCAAGGTGACCATGTGGGACCTCACAGTGGAGGACGAAGATGTGTACTGGTGTGGCATTGATACAGCATGGTGGCACCAAAAACTGCCCCCATTTGATTCCAACTTCAAGGTGGAGGTACATGTGGTTCCAGGTGAGCCCCTACCCTACACAGCCCCAGGGCTTCCTGAATAAGCTCAGGGAAGAATATCCGGGGCAGGTCTTCTTAGATCAGAGACTTGGGGGAAAGTAAGTGTGTGTGTGTGTGTGTGTGTGTGTGTGTGTGTGAGAGAGAGAGAGAGAGAGACAGAGAGAGAGACAGAGACAGAGAGAGAGAGAGAACACCCCATCACAATGCTCTTCCCCTGAGGAGAAACTGGCTCAGGGAGAGAGGGGTGAGTGTGAGGGCCTGACCAGACACACTGGACAGCACGGTCCTTCATTTCTTTGCTCCTTCATCCCTGACTGGTGCTCTGTGGGACAAGCCTGGTCTAAATACTCCCTGTCAACTCTTGGTCCTGAGGGCTGCGGGTCTTCCCAGCCACTGTGAGGACATGCCAACCCTGACTGCTGTCAGCTGGGACGTTAACCCTTGATGTACCACATGTGCCCACTGCTCACGTGTCTCTGCATCTGTGTGGCTGTGCTTTGAGGGGAAGACACTGGGCTGGACACAGCCTTGAGCTCTCAGGGGTGTTCAGTGGGGTCAGCAGGATGGAATCAGGACAACCCGGGGCCCTGTGTCCTACTGGAAATGGCCCTTGGCTCAGGGGCATCTTGGGAGATATTTGTCCTCTGTCTGCCCCCTGCCTAAGTCACCATGCTCTGTGAACCCAAACCCAAAGGAACTGGTGGGGAGCAAGAGGTCAGAGGAGAGGTCTTGACCTGATGTGTGTTTTTACAGCAGCATCAATATCAAGAATGCCTTCTATTTCCACAGTCTCCACAACTAAAATGAGTCTACCTTTGTCATCCACTACACTGACCACAGAGGGTGCCATTCACAGTTCAAGCAGCCAGGACAACTCCACCCAGTTCCAGGGCTCAGGGTAAGGTGCCCCCGTTCCTGTAACCTACAGGGGAACCCTCTCAGTCTGGCTCCCTCCTGGGCTCATCATGGTGTAGATCTGACCAGCTGAAGGGTGGGACTCCTCCTCGTGGCTAGATCCTCTGCGTTCTCTCTGTCCAGGCAGATGAGATGCCCTGTCTGTAGATCGTCGTGTGAGTAGCTGAGGCCACCCTGGACCTGTGCTGCCCATCAACAGAGGGCTCGGGTCGGGAGAAGCTGGGATCGGCGTGGAAGGAAATGACTGAGAGCTTGGTCCCTCCCGGGTGCGTGGGATGTGTGGCTGAGTGTCTGCCATGAGTGTTCTCATTCGCTCCTGGCTACCTCCTGCCCTGCACCATTGTCATTCACTGATGAATATTCCTCAGTATCTATTTGCCTACGTTTCATAGGGTACAACTGCTTCATAGTATTCTCTTGACTTTAATCTTTCAAAAGGACATTACTAGGCATTTATCACATGCCACCCCTGGAGAGATTTAAGCTATTAACCTTTAGATTTCTAGGTGGTAACAAGCTATTTGGGCCCCACAGTGACCTCTAAGTTTTATTAATTTCACAATAAACCATTAGTACAGACTCAAGAGTAAAATGTTGGAAATGCAAGGTTACTTTTTGCAGTAGTATTTATAATTACAAAAGAATGAGGGAAATTGTTAATAAGGAGTGGTTAAACGAAATGTCATATATTTGTGCAGTGGAGTATAATGCAGCTGTGTACAAGAGAAAGGATCTTTTTAAAAAATGACCTTAAGTGTGATTTGTTTTAGCTTGAATTTATTGGAAGTTGAGGACAACTTGTAATTTGTATACCATACCTACTTTTCTGTGACAATGTCATTGTTAGGTGCTGTTAAAACTGACTCATCGCTGGCCTTCCAGTAGGTTTTCAGAGACTGTGAATTGCATGAGTGGAGACTGCCCATCTTTCTCCCGTGGAGCAGCTGGTGGATTTAAACCACATACTTTTGGATTGGCAGTGTAACTCCTTACCCTCTAGAGCTCCACCAGAGCTCCCTGTGTGAAAATACAAGGACATTAATATCTGTTGATATTTGCATCTATTGAGAAGTTTCCTGGTGGTGCTTCTCCACTCCTAATTGTTTGCGTCCTGACACAGGAAGGCTATCTCCAGGCACCAGGGTCAGTGACAGAGGTGCAGGTCTCACATGGATCCCTCATCTTCCCTCACATCATCCCCTCAGCCAGGCCCTTCTTCATGTCTTCAGTTTCACGTTAGGAGTCAGGGACAATGGTCCTTCAAGGGATCTCCCAGGGCTGGTCCTGATGAGGACTAGTCTGGACACAGGACCTGAATTTCTGGGCTCAGGATGTCCTCCTGAGGAGGCAGCTCACTGTCTACCACTGTGTCCTCACAGGTCTCTGCTCAGCAGTGTCCACTTCCTGCTCCTGGTCTTCCTGAAAGTGCCCCTGCTTCTGAGCATGCTTGGTGCTGTCCTCTGGGTGAACAGGCCTCAGAAGGCTCCAGTAGCCCTCATGCCCAGGATGCCCTGCCCATGGATCCAGACCCCAGATGCAACTGAAATGATGCTCTCACCAACAAGTCCTGTGTAATCATCACAGTTTCTTCAAAACAAATAAAAATGAAAATGCAGCATACCAAAACCTCTGGGATGCAGCTAAGGCAGTGTTCAGGGGGCAATTCATAGCAGTAAGCAAACAAATGAAAAAGGAAGAACGAAGCAAGATTTATGATCTAACTCAACACCTCCATCAAATAGAAAAAGAACAACAATCTAACCCCACAGGAAGAAAGGAAATTATGAAGACAAGAGTGGAAATCAATGGGATAGAAAACAGAAAAACAATTGAAACTATCAACTAGCGAAGAGCTTGCTTTTCAAAAAGCTCAATAAAATTGACAAACCATTGGCAAACTTAAAAGAAAGAAAAGACAAAAATTCCTTGATTGACTAAGAAATTATAGAGATAACATCACAACAGAACCAGATGAAATTGGGTCTATAATATGGGAATATTACCAATAGCTATACTGTGGTAAATTTGAAAACCTAGAGGAAATGGACAGATTCCTTGAAACTCATGACCTATACAGATTTACATGACTAGATACAGAACACTTGAACAGATCCTTCCCAAAAGAAGAAATTGAGCAGGTCCTAAAAAGACTCTACCACAAATAAGTCCTGGTGACTCTGCCACAAAAAAGTCCTGGCCCAGATGACTTCACAGCTGAATCCTATCAAAGAATATTCTTCAACATCTATTTGCCTACCTTACAGCTTAAGAATAGGAACATCACATTTCCTCGTTTGTGTCCAGCCTGAGATAAGATCCCTCTCAACACTGGACATGGTTCTTCTAGCCATTGACTTGCTGACTTTCACCACGTCTCTGGGTCACTCATTCATTGCTGTTTTATTAGAACTGATTCATAACTGACTATCCAACAGGTACTGGAGGATGTAAATCACATGTGCTTCTCCTGAGGAGCTGCTGATGAGGTGGAACCCACAAAGGTGCTGCTTTTGGGGTAGCAGCACAACTCCCTATGACTAGGTCACCTCAGCTCCCTGACCTGAGTGGTCCTATGCAAATATGAAGAGTTTGTGGTCCACTAAGGGGAATGGTGTGGAAGGAGGAGTGGCAACCGCTTCCATAATAGCTTGCCTCCGGAAACCCTATGAACTTGGAGAGAGGATGGAAGGTACCCAAGCGTCACCTGCGACTCGACGGCACTTAACAACAACAACAAAGGGAATGGATTGCTTGTTAACAGTGTAAATAAAATAAAACATGCTTTTAAAGCAGGACTATGAAAATAAGATGTGTAGGACACATTAGGTGAGGGCTGGTCAATTTTATCATCCCATGAGGATGAAATTGAGCTAACCCCGAGGCCAAAAATGGGGCTCTGATTACTATCAAGAAGAGATATGCATGGAGTTCGGTGTGTTCTCTGGACTTCAGACCTCTGTGCAAACCAGAGAGGGGGAAGCTGTGGTACCTGAGAGGCAGAGTGAGACCGGCAGAGGGCGGGAGTGGCAGCCGCAGCCACAGCACAGAGGTGGTGGAGAACCCAAGCCTGGGGTGAGAGAGAGCTGCTGGCCCGAGGAGCGAGAAGGCTGAGCACTGGAGGGCAGAGTGGGTGCTTCGGAGCAGGTTGGAGGACACAGGGGGACACAGAACTGGCAGAGCTAGGAGAGCTTTGTAAACCTTGCTGGAGCAGGGCAAACGCCAAGGAACAGAGAAAGGTCTGCCTGCGTGGACTCCTGAGAAGAGGCTGTCCTGAGGGCTGCTGGAGCGGAATATTCCCATACCGAAACTACAACATGTTAACTTCCTGAACAAACCTCATAATTGTTTTGTGAATTCTTGAACCCGGTAGAGAAGTACTGAGCAGCTTCAGAGGGACAGTTAAATGTTGGAATTATTAGAAGACGTGAGGGTGGAGAGTTTGTCTGATCTCATTGGAACAAGTGCTGTTGGAGGGGATTCTTCATCCTGTGAAGTTTCTGGAGCTCAGCGGATGCCTCCTCACACTGGTTTTACAATCTTCCTTTCTAAAATAACACTTGTTACTCATAATCTTCCCTTTCTCCAATGATCTGTTTTTCTGCTTCTGAAGATACGGATGCCTACGCGTCTGTGAATCTCTTTCTTAGCTCTCTGCCCTGTCTCATTTGTCTATTTCCTTATGCTGGAGGCAATGTGACAATTAAAAAATATCTATAGCTTTATTAAAGAGCCTTGATATCTGGTTAATAACGTTACCACGTATTCTTCTTCCCTATCAGGCCTGTCTTCACAAATAGTGGCCCTTTCCTGTTCTATACAAAATAAAATGATCCTGCCAAATAAACCCAAACAAACAAGCAAACCACCCTTTTTTATTGGTTTTCATATCATCAGGAATACATATTGTGTTTCATTCACATACACTGTGTCTTAGAAAATCACTCACCTACACTGTGTTTGATATACTTAATGACTATGATCAATACCTTTTATCTCCCCCTCTTGTCAGATCCCCCTCGCACTTTGTCTGTTTCTTCACTCCTGCTCTTCCCCCCATCCTTCCACTAATCTCTCCTACAATACTGGGTTGGGGTTTTTTTTTTTGTTTTGGGGGATTCCCTCCCCTTTTCCTGCCCTCCTTCTCCCCTTCCCCTTTTGAACAGTGACACGTGTCCTGTTCCTGTTTACCGATGGCAATAGTGATATTGTCTCTTTGCCGATTCTCCCCAGCTTCTTCCTCGCTCTCCGGATCTTTTATAGTGTTTCTTGAGGGTCCTGTGCTCTGCTCTCCTGATTTCCTCTACTCCCCAGGGACCCTCTTATTTTCACAGTAACAGTCTTATATAGTATCATTTTTTTTTCCTTGTTGTGTACCGAATCAGATTGAACTGGCACAGGAGGAAATTGTCCCTTCCTTCTCCAGCAGAGCATCTGATGGATTGAAATGATGTTCCTTCCGGATTGCTTTTGTGACTGAGTTATTTCACTCAGCATAATGTCCTCCAGCCTCACCGTGCTGCATAGGATTTTAAAGAGAAAACTTCTTCATTTTAATGCAACTGTGTAAAATTCTAGGAGCCTTGGTGGTATAGTGTATTGCATGCTAGGCTATTAAACCAAAGATTGGCAGTTCAAGTCTACTAGTCAGTCACTCTCCAGAAGACAGATACTCTCTGTAAAGATTGACAACCTCAGAAACCAATGCACTCAGAATCAACTCCATTTGGTTTATATTAAATTCATCCTTATGATAATAAAGTTTGATCTGTGATCACAATATGTGACTCTAGTTTCTTTTTTAGTTTCTTGCTTGGGTGGCCTAGTGGCAAGAAGCTGCGCTGCAATTCCGAAGGTATGTGGTTCAAGGCCACCAGCTGCTCCACGGGAGAAGGATGGGCGATCTCTTTCTGTGAGATTAACTGCCTCTGAAAACCCGCTGGTGGGTCAGCGATGGATCGGTTGTGACTCTGTGGAATGCAGTAACAACAACAACAAATATCTTTTAATAATATATTGTTTTTCTCATTAAGGCTATTCATATATTTGATATAAATTAAATTTAAATATGAATTTTATCATTGTTGTTGAGTGCAGTCAAATCAGGACCGACCCATAGCTGACCCTCCAGTGGCTTTTCCAAGGCAATAAATCACATGGGAGTGCTCAGACAAACGGCACCCATTCCACTGGTACCACCCGTCATAGCTTCTTTCCTCACTTACAAAGGCTTACATGTCTTACAACCGCACTACACTTCTTTGCCTTTTTAGGGAAATTTCCCACACTGAGTTTGCTCATGAGCTCAGAGTGCATGACTCATCCCCAGTAACCAAACTCTCGTTTATTGATTCTGCAAAGTCATTTGACTGTGTGTATCATAAAAAGCATGGGTAACATTGAGCAGAATGGGAATCTTAGGATACTCAATTGTGTTCATGTAAAATGTATACATAGATCAAGAAGCTATTGTCTGAATAGAACGAGAAGACATTTCAGTGAGGAAAACTGTGCATTGGGTTGTATCTTTTCTCCATAATCTATTCAATCTATAAGCTGAACAAATAATTCAAGAAACTAGACTATATGTGGCATCAAAATTAGAGGAACACTTATCAACAACATGCAGGTGACACAACCTTATTTGCCAAAAATGAAGAGAACTTGAAATACATTCTGTGTGAAATCAAAGACTACCTATAGCCTTCAATATAGATTATATTTCAATTCCAAGAAAACAAAAATCTTCACCTCTGGACCATTATGGGAGATGGAGAAAAGACCAAAGTGATAAACACTTCCATCTCACTTGGATACACCATCAACAGCCGTGGTAACTTCAGCCCAGAAGCCAAAAGATATGCCACACTGAGAAAATCCTGGGATTCTCATTCTGCTACATGTCGTCTGCTTCCGGCTTCTGCGCTTCCTGAAGGTGCTTCTGCTCTTGACCAGTCTCAGCACTGTCCCCGGGGTGAACAGGTCTCACAGGGTTCCTGGGGAGGCTGAGTCAGCCAGGCTGCAAGAACTCGTAGCCTTGGTTTCCAGGATGCCACCCACAGTCACAGAAGAATTAGACCCTTGGTGGGATGGAAAGAACTTTCTCAGCAAAAAATCCAGTGTCACCATCCAGATTTCCATCAGGAATCTTTTTTTAAAAAACAATTTTATTAAACTTTATTAATTTTAATGAACATTTACAGAGATTTTGGGTTTCCATTCATTCATTGTTGCACTATTTTCTCTACCCCCCCCCTCCAGTTTGTTCCAATTGTCCCATTGCCACAGTGCTTGTCAAAGCCAGTTCTAATTAATCTCCTTTGTCAGTGTGTCCTTTGCCATTCCCTATCACCCCTCTCTGAGAGAGACTTCATTCACCCTGATTCATAAGGAAAAGGGGACGGTGTACTCTCTTAGCTACTTCCTGCTGAGAAGGGACCCTGTAGGTTTCAGGGTGAAGATCTTCTCTCACTACTCTAAAGAGCCCCTTTGGCAATAGGAAACATGTAGACTATTGTGGAGATTGATTTTGGAATTTAGATGCACATAAATCTTTTAAAAAACTTTTTAATGCAGTA